TTCTCTTGATAATATGTTAAGTTGAAGAATCAAACACTAAGAATAGTTTTTTGTTTTTTATAGCTAGGTATGGGACATCTATTTCACATATTATAGGTGGTCTTTATAATAGAAATTATTTGTCAAGTAAGGTATAAGTCCAAGGTATTCCATCATCTTATGTCATAACAGATGCTTCTCGTATAAAGAAATAGGAAAGCAATTCCCCACGTATAGCTCTGAAAGTCAATAAAAGTTTACATTCATAGTTCAAACAGGCCAGATATGTGACCCAGAAGTTCCTTCTTTGCACCTGAGTTTTTCACAGATGGTAACTGTCAAGGTCAAAGAAGTTTTTTCTGGAGTCTGGGCTTCAAGCCAAGTCTCTTTTAGGCAATAACAAGTTATAATACTATACTTCACCACAAGATGTCACCAATGCCGTTTAAAGCTTTTTAAGTCCAAAGTTTTTATGATAGTTTTTCAAGTTTTATTTTTTTTTTAGATAAAAACAAACGTCTCCAGTAAGAATAGGAACACTTTTAGTCCCCAAGTTTCAAAAGCATATACATCCAATTAGATTTAAATTGTTCTTATAGTTGCTGTTTCCCCTGGGTAGTTAGTTGCTGCTGTTCTTAGAGGGTGGGGTAGAAATTCCCTTCCTTCTCTCCTCACATGGGGAAAATACTTTGGGCAGCTTTTACAAGAAAAAATACTTAAAGTCTTAAAAAGAAGATCAAATCTCACCCAGTTTCATCCGTGTTGCTTTAAAGGTGACTTTCAACTCTTTCCAGGGTCCCCCTGTGGGACGAAATTGGTCGCAAAAAACGGAACTCGTCTTCCAGCATCTGCGGCACCACGATGGCAAACCGAAAGTCCGCTATTGGTTATAACTTTGTTTGCTTCTAGTTGTTTGCAGATCTGTTTTTTGATTATCTTTTCTAGGTATTCATATTAAACTAATTGGTCTGTAGTTTCCTGGGATTTATGAAAGATGTGGAGCATTGGTTCTGAGATAACACCTGTCAGCTCTTTCAGAACTCTGGGATGTAATTTGTCGGGTCCTGGTGATTTAACTTTGTCAAGGTCAGATAGGTATTCTCTTACCATTTTCCTGCTTATTTTAATTTTTGTTTCTAGTATGTCTTTTGCAGTGGTTTTTTACAGTATGTTGGGCTATGGTTTCTTTTTGTGTGAAGACTGATGCAAAGTATGAAGGTTAAGGGAGCTCTGCTTTCTCCCTGTTGCCTATTATTACCTTGCCATCTTCTTTCTTTAGTGGGCTTACAGTTTCCTTGACTTTTTTCTTCTTGTTAATATGTTGGAAGAACCTTTTTTTGTTATCCTTGATTTCTGTTGCAAGTCTTTGTTTATTCTGAGCCTTTGTTTTCCTGACTTCATCTTTGTATATTCTGGCTGTCTGTTGATAATCGGTCTTAATTATGTGCCCCTGTTTCCATTTTTTGTATTTGTCTTTTTTCTCTTTCAGTTTGTCAGAGATCTTTGTGCAGCCATGCTGGTTTCTTCTTGAATTTCTTGTTTTTCTTTCTCAATGGTATTGTGCTGGTCTGGGCTTTTATCATTGCATTGGTGGAAACTGTGGTCCATGACATCCAAAAGACATTAGTTTGGGTAAGGCTGGATTAAATTATAAAAGAGCAGATGAGAGAAAGTAGAAGCAAGAAACACTTTCCAATAATTGGGGGGGGGGCAGTTGACTCAGCCTTTTAATTTCAACTCACGCCAATTCCTCTTAATGTCCCATTCAATCCAAAGAATTCTATTATCGGCTGGGTTTTAGGGAGGGGAGGCAGCAAGAATAGACCACAAAGCCAATTTGCGAGTTTGCTCTCACCTGCCTGCACACCACCCCTCTGATGCAGCACGTGTGTGTGTGTGTGTGTGTGTGTGTGTGTGTGTGAGAGAGAGAGAGAGAGAGAGAGATTCCCTTTTTGTAAGTTTGCTTATTCTGTTTGCAACGCTCCCCATTCCCCACTTTTGCTTCCCTGATGGCTCTCTCTCTCTCACACACACACGCGCGCACACACACACACACACACCTCCCTGCTTTCTCCCTTTTCTTGCTCTTTTCCTCCAGCTGCATTGAATGGAATGGGATGAGGTTAAAAAAAGGGGAGGGGAAAGGGGGAGAAAATTCCAGGCAGCTGCTCTGCATCTGGCATGAATGATGCGTTCCCTCTCCAGCCCTACCACATGGAGAGGGCGACTGGGAGCCGGCCAATGGTTGGCTTGTGCCACCGCGTGCTCCGTTCTCTGGGCCTTTCATCCCGCAGGCTGGGCATATCCTGGGGTGCTAGGCTTACAGAACGCCATGGCCCGAGTGAGGACAGGTGCGACCTGGCAAAGCAGAGCCGGAGGAGGAGACCTAGCAAAGTGGGGCATGACGGGGTTAGGCTGGGAGGGGCGGGGTGAAGCAAATGAGCTGCAGCTTCTGCTGCATACCACCAACCCCTGAGCGCTTACCGTTTCAGGTGTGTGCACCAGGGAGCACCCAACCGGGTTGGGGTGGGCCAGAGCTGGGGCAGTAGGGGCCAGTCCCTTGCCATTTTTGGGACAGCCCCGGGGGCCAAATCTGGGCTCTCTGCAGGCTGGATCTGGTCCGCAGGCCTTGTGTTTAACATGTCTGAGCTAGGGGGTTCCCCAGGGTTATGTCTAGCTGATGCTTTTTAACCTATTTATAAATTGCCTGGATTCAGGCATGAGAAGTGGAATAGCCATGTTTACTTATGACCCTAAACTGTGAACAGTCATAAAAACAATAAAGGACTTGAAAGAATTTCAAAGGGATTTCTATACATTTAGAGAAATAGATGTCAATGTGTAGGATATCATTCAATGTAAAGTTATGCACACTAGTGCAAACATTTCTAACTACTTATATAAATGAATGAGATTAATTGTAACCGTGACTAATGGTAGAGTTATGACCATTCAGCTACCATTCAAAATTACAATGTTGCTTAGTGAAAGGATTTATGTCCAGTTCCTAAAGTTATGGCTATTGCCTCATTCCTGTGGTTGCACGATTGCAACTTGGGACTTGGCAATCTATTTGTCCTTATGACTGGTTACCATGTGCCCTGCAATAATGTGATTTCCATTTGCAATCTTCCTTGCCAGCTTTCCCAGAAAGTCAATGGAGAAACCAGCAGGAAAGATCACAAACCACTGCTGCCTTCTGGGAACTTTCTCTCATCTCTGGTAGGTGGCTGAAAAAGCTCCATGCCAAAATCCAAGAATGATTTTGGCATGGAATGGGTTCAGCCAGCCTCTAGAAACAAGAGGGAGGCAGCAGCAGTTTGGATTTCTGCACTGAGGCTTGGATTTTGGCATGGAGTTTGTCAGCCAACCTGCAAAAATGAGAGGGAGTCCTCTTGGCATGTGGAGTGACTTGTATGTGTGCAGCAGATTTCTGCATGTATTCTTTGATTTCTACACAGATTCTTGCTTGGATTTTGGTATATTTTGGAGCTTTTTTAGCCAGTACCTAGAAACAAGAGGAAGTCCTTTCCATTCTGAAGGGTGGCTGAAAATATCCCATGCCAAAATCCAAGGAGAATTTTCAGCCATGGAGAATATTCAACCTCAGGATGGAAAGACTCTTGACTTTGGAGCTGAAAATCCAAACAGTTCCAATGCCCTCACGCACGCTCTGTAATAACCCCAGCCACACTGTTGCTTCCTCCCCAAGCCAGTAGGGCCTGAGGTCTGCAACTTCCAGCCAGCTTCCCCAATGACCTGATTGTGGGAAGCTAGCATGAAGTTGCCTCACATAAGACTGGAGCATTCAGTTATCAGTGGCAATTGCCTGGATTGCCATTGCTAAGCAAAGTGGTTACATTTTATGAGAGCATCACTTAGCAACCAAAATTTGTGGTTGTAGGTCAAGGACTACCTGTAATGAGTAAACAGATCTTGGGTGTAAACAGTTTAATTGAAGGCATTGCTATAACATCTATCATAAAACAAACCAACAGCATTTTAGAGATAATAAAAAGCAGTACTGAAAGTTGAGGTGCCAATACCATAATGCCGTTATATAAACCATTGATGCTGTCACATCTGGGCTATTGTGTGCAGCTTTGGTCATCACATCCCAAAGAGGATACAATGGAGCTAAAGAAGTTTCAGAAGAGGGCAACTAAAATTTATCAATATAAATATGATAAATAAATAGAAATTTACAACATTTCAACTAAAATGTACTGAAAAGTAACATGAATCTTTGTTATAGAAGTAACATGAATCTTATAGAAGGATATAAGACAGTATCCTATCTCAGTTGCTTGCATTCGCATTATTATATGGCTGAGGTCTAAATAAAATCAAGTATCTCCTGAAAGGTGGAAGCAAAAATGTCTAATGAAAAATGAACTAGTTTTGAAGAGCTGGGAAAAATGTTTTTTTTCACAGATGAAAAGGAGTATCAAAAATATATGGGCACTGTCTTTGGAAAAAAACTAAATCGAAACGTGATGGGTTCTACTCTGTGACTGCTATCTCAAAGTTTATTCATACCGCCAAAATTAAAAAAAAATCATCTGACTATGTAGGTAGGAAACAAGTATTTCAAACCAGATATGAAAGAACAGAATGACTACATAGTTTTGTACACAATTAATCTGATTGCATTTTCTTCCTCAATTCCCAATATAGTACATCAGATATTTTACAACTAAACTAGTTCATTTATAGTCTATAATCCAAACTATATCATGCTAATACAACTTATTATAATGAGGGTATCAGGGGAAAGAAAAGAATAGTAAAAAGTTGATACTAAGATCAACATTAATTCAAATTATAGTATCTTCTAGTAATAGGGTAGAAAACAAAGGAATACTATGTGAATTTTTGTGTGGATTATGATATTTCATGTAAGACTGCAAAGGGAAAAGAAAAAGTAAGTTCAAGATGCACATCATGAAAATAGCATTAGAATGTAATAGTGTGACTATCGTATTTCAATTCCAACTATTATTTCTTTTGAGAACATCTACCTTTGTGGGATATTAATGTAAAATATATTTTCATCTTCATTCTCCAGTCTCTGTTTTCTTCGCCTCTCTATGTCATGTCTTAAATCATTTGGATCCTCTAGAACTCTCACAACATTCTAAAAATATAATAAATGGATTACTGAATTAAAAGTTTTTATTTTTATTTTCACCTAACTTTAACATAAGACCAGTATTAGAATAAAATAAAGTGTTATATTTCACAGAAATGAATATTTATTTATTCAATTTCTATATCTCAAACCAATTGACTGAGCAGCGAACAATATACAACAATTAAAACCATAAAAACAAAAATTATCATAATAATTACACTGAAATTAACAATGCAATCAGGTAATAGGGCCCCTAACAGGACATTATACATTATAGTGCAGTAAAAAATTCTCATTCAACTATTAAAATCAGTTTAGTGCAGGGCTTTTCAACCAGTGGTACGGGTACCATTGTGATACATTGGCACCTGGCAGCTGGTACGCGAGCATCCTAGAAAAGTGGTAGCGGGGGAGGGGAATGAGCTGAACCGGTGGCAGCACCAGACAAGCCTGAGAGAGAGATGGCTGGAGCTGCAGGGCTGTCAGGGCTCAGCGGAAGCTCCAGAATCGGTGCTTCTTCGGGACTGTCAGGGCTCAGCGGAAGTGCCAGGATCAGCGCCAGGCTCCAGCTGGAGCTCGGCGCTGATCCTGGTGCTTCTGCTGAGCCCAGAAAAAGTGCCGATCAGCTGGAATGTTGCAGCATCTCCAGGGTCTTCTGATTTACATTCAGATGCTTGGCAACTGATTCATATTTATGATGGTCACAGTGTCCCAGGGTCATATGAAGTGACCAAAACTTGCTGCAGCCACCCAGGAGACGGACGGGGGGGGGGAATAAAAACCAAACACCCTCACCCCAACCATGCTGCCAATCCTCAACAGAAATGCTCACAACAATGAAAACCTCAGACAGAAGGAAGAGTGCCGCCGGGCAGGCAGGCAGGTGTCTTCCTCGGCTGTGGCTTGGGGGGCACTTTTTTCAGTGCTACTGTAACTTTGAACAGTCACTAAGCAAACTGTTATAAGTCGAGGACTCCCTGTACTTTATCACTTTTTTCCTTTTTTGCGGGGGGGGGGGTCATCAAGTTTTTGACACCTTGCTAGGCGATTGTGGTACTTGGATATTGCCATATCCTAAAAGTGGTACAATGGGTGAAAAAGTTGAAAAGCCCTGGTTTAGTGAACTTAAAATTCTCAGCCAAATCTACCTCACGTCAATGCTGCTAATATTGGATGTTCTTGCTCTGACAAAATATGCAAAGCTGTGTGATATTTTTAAAGTTAACTTAAATGATGCTGGGAGGGGAAGAGAAAGAATGCATGTGAGGGATTAGTGAGATAAGGAATTGGCTGCTGAAAAAAATGGAAGAAAACCTTTGGCCTTCAAACTGATTGGAGAATGTGATTTATGACTGTAAAAAAGAGGAGGGAATAGGCTGGAACATTATGTGATCAAGGGAGGGGAATTTAGATCTTGGCATCCATCCATGCCTGCTGACACGTTGTTACATGAATAAAGACTTCTTAGATAAACAATGCCTGGAAGTTCTTTGAAGTGTTCCATTAGTTGGAACCTAGACACCTCATATGTTTGAAGAAAGAATTACATCCATTTCAGCTCTTTGGGAGGCAATTGGAATAAGAAATGCATTTCAATAAAAAATAAAGATACAGCATTGTTTCAGTAAGGTAGGGTTACATGCTGAATAAATAAACATTTTATGGATTCATTAAAATAAGACACTTTATCCCACTGCTGAAAATTTGTTTTTTTTTTCACTAGGAGATAAATATACATACCTGTCCAGACTCACACGAAATAGCTCGTTTGTTCTGAAGTTCTGCCAGAGACATATCAATTCTCCTAATATAATGACCAAGCAAATTAGTATCAATAAATTATATGGAAAAAATGTAACTACAACAGATACTAAATTACACAAAATATATTTGAATAATACAACTTGCTGGGAGTTTTTTAAAATCTCTGGGTCTATGTTGGTCATAGTGCAGGAATGCATTTAGACCATTCTGAATATGAATAGAAAGGGTAGGATATAATTAGATCATAGAAATAATTGGGAAGAGCCAGAAAATGAACCAAGAAATGTTCATAGTGGAAAAGGCAGATATCACATGCTGGATATATCTTAATTTTGCAGAATTATTTGTTATTTAATCAACCAAAATAAATTTTATGGGTTGAATAAATTTACCTTACCTGTGAATCTCTGGATCCAAATATCTTTTAACTTCATTTGCCCCTGATATCTCCTGTATTTTTGAGAAGCGCTCATTTAAAGTAAGGTCAGAAGATTTAAAATAATTTGCTGTGAAGACAATGAAGAAAAAAGCTAAATTGACAAGCAGCAATATCATGGTTAGCAATTGAAATCTCCACCCTGAAGATTGTAGTATCTTAACCCAGTAGTGGCGAACCTATGGCATGTGTGCCAGAGGCAGCACGCAGAGCCCTCTCTGTGGGCACACGCACTGTCACCCCAGCCCCGCCCGCCCTCCTCACCACCAGCAGCCTCCCTGGAGAAGTCGCCCCGGGTGCGGCCCATGCAGAGCAACACAGCCAAGGACACGGCAGCCAGGCAGCAGGGACAAGACTCCGCCCTCGCACCCTCTCACGCAGATGATGCTGCGGGGCATGGATAGAGGGCATGGCCATGGTGCTGCAGGGCCGCTTGATTTGCTGCAGCGGGCTATGGAGGCGGTAGGTGTCCCTGGGAGCAGGCGGGGAGCAAGTGGTGGAGCAGGGGTGGGCGAAGGGTTTTGGGGCACTTGGTGTCTAAAAGGTTCGTCATAACTGTCTTAACCTTGTAAACTTTAAAGCCATATTTTCCTTCATAAATTTGTAATGGTAGCGTACAGCATGATTTTATTTCAATATAGCCTTCAAAATCTACTCACTAATCCTTTCATCTCAAGGGGCCCATATAACTTTTACCATTTTAGGCAGTCAAGTGCAGAAAGATCAAATTGATATACATTTTAGTTAAAATTATCTCAAATTAAAAATTTGTGTGTGTATTACACTTCTGTGTCCATTAATCCTCAATAATGTTTTTTAAAGTATTAATTTGATCTATATATGCATGTACAAAGCCATTATATCTGAACTTCAATTGTTAAAAAAATCGCAGCACCTCTAATTTAAAAAGTGAAATAGTCTTTCTTGGATTTTTGATAATAATCTCATACTACTTTATTAAACAGCTGCAACATTTCACATATCTTGGTTTACCTGGATTAATGACATACAAAATATTTTGATTACTAGACAGTGATGATACCACATGGAAACAAGATGTTTTTAACTTTCTGTAACCACCTTTAACTTGGTGGATAATTGTGATGATTTCCTGAGCAAATTCTTTTGATGGGTTTTGTTCTATCTTCTGCGTCACAGATTTTATATGTTCAAAAACAGGATGAAAACTTTGAGGTTTTTTACCAACAGCTACTAGGTCACATGATGTCTGCCTCTCCGTGATATGACCAGAAGCTGCCCTGGAATAAATTTAGAAAAGTTTAGAAAATATTCTCTGTTAAAATAACATTCAAAGTATTTGAATAAAATAGCAATAGAGATTAAAAAAGGAAAATGAATATTAATCCACATATAAGGATGGAGACAGGTAGGAATATTAATGATTCAATATACAAATGTAATATTCATATTTATAGCATTTCACTGTTCTTACTGCATTCATATACAAATTTAATATACATATACAATTTCAAATACAAAATGCAGTTTTTGAATTCTCATACACAATGCAAAGGCATGAAAGTATTTGTGGAGCAGAAATACAGTTGCTCAGTCTTTCCCCATATACACTGCATATATGTGAAATAGTGATAACAGTGTCTCCAGATTTGCTTAGCTATAAAAAAAATGCTATTTTGTTTTTTTATGACATCAATAGAAAGCCAATCAGATTTGTGTATTTGTGATACTTAATCCTACTTTCAACTCATATCAAATAGCAACTGATCATAACTCTAAGAGTTATCTGATCTTTTATGTATGGCAGAAATCAGTTTTTTTCATTTTGCCTCAATCATATGTGATGTCAGATCACTCACAACCTGAACCTCTCAACAGAAATAATCCTTGGCTCCATTTGTTAAGAAATGTATAGTTTTATTAGAGATAATAATAACAACAACAACAACAATCATCATCATCCCCCAATGAGGCACTACCTTGACGTGATTGTGGGGCTTGTGTACTCTGAGGAAGATGAGAGCTATGCCAGAGGTTCAACCATATTGGACAGGTCTCATCAGTGGAGTCAGACAAAGAGTGTCTCTCCCATAAAAAATATGGTGAGATGTAAATTTCAGAAAGCCATACCGGCTCTGATGTCGCCCGGGTTAACAAGGTCCACGCTAGATGTTGGAGTTCTTGGATATCTGGTGAAAAATGGGTTATAGGACTCAGGACTGTTGGTTGAGCAACCAGGGTCAGCAGCTGCAGAACTACTGGAAGAAAAGGTGTTTACCTGTCGCAAATACAGTGATTGAAAACAAAGAAATAATGATCTGTTATTACAGATCAAGTCCAACAAAAAGAGGAAATCTAAAACGAATGCACCAGTTCTGGAAAGAAGAACATCCAGAATCAGAAATAACAGAACAAAGACTAGCAGATCAACGCCGATGTGTAATACAAAATAAAGTATTGACAAAAACAGAATTGGACGAACTGCAAGGGTTTACCCAGGGCAAAGAAATCAAAGCCTTGCCAGGAGTAATTCAGAATGTAGAGGCAAACCAGGGGGAGTTGGCAGTGAAGGAATCCATCAGAGATATACAACTGTTCTCATCTGGAAACCAGGTACTCTTCCTCAGGAAGAACAAAACCCTCTAACTAAAGAAATAAAAGAATTGAAACAAAGAATAACTGAGCATCTAGAACAGCACAAAAACAACAGAATAAGGCTGCCTGCATTGAAGCTTGTTCCAAGGAAACAGCTAGCACAAGCATTAAAAGATGCAAATACTGCAATGTCAAGTATAAGCACCAATTCACTGCAAGAAACAAACCAACTAACGTACAGCACAGCTGCAATTATAACTGAATACCTGAGATGCAAAACCAACAAAAAACAAACAAACAAACAAACAGTGCATCACAAAAATGGAAGGTTAGACCGGAAAATAAGATCAGCAAGTTAAGATCACATGCAAGCAAGCTAGAACAGATGAAAGAAAAGATGAAGAACAAGACCAAATAATACCTAATCAAGAAATACCACTTAGAAAAAAGGAAGATCAAGGAAGCACTGGAAATAATAAAGCAGCAAATATAGCCAGGAAAGTCAGCAGATACGAAGCTTGAATTGCAAATTATAGGCAGAACCTCCAATTTCAATCCAATCAGAAATGTTTCTACCAATCCATCAATGGAGAAACTGCAATGAATCAGTCAGTACTGACAAGGAAGAAACAGTGCAGTTCTGGAAGCAGATATGGGATAACCCAAAGAAACACAACAACGATGTGGCTTGGTTAAAAGAGGTGCATGCAAGTAAAACAGAAGTTGAAATGAAAGAACTAGTAATAACAACAAAAATGGTAGAAAAAAGAGCAAGGAGGATCAAAAATTGGTTAGCACCAGGTGAAGATGAACTGCATGGGTTTTGGTTGAAACATCTAACTGTTATATACCCACTCATTGCCAAGCAGTTCAACAATATACTACAAGGAGGAGAAATTGAAAAGTGTCTAACAACTGGGAAAACCTACCTAATAATGAAAAATCCAGCAAAAGGGGCAACACCAGGCAACTACAGGCCAATTACCTGCTTACCAACAAGTTTCAAATTGCTAACTGGTGTGATAGCTGATGCAGTACAATATCATCTAGTTGAAAACAATCTCTTTCCACCCGAGCAGAAAGGAAACCGCCCCAACAGCAGAGAAACAAAAGATCAACTCCTAATAGACAAAATGATCTTGGAAAACTGCAGGAAAAGGAAGACCAACCTGAATGTGGCATGGATTGACTACAAAAAGGCATTTGACTCTCTGCCACATGACTGGATAATCAAGTGCCTCGAAATAAGAGGATCAGTAGAAACATCAGAAAATTTGTGCAAAGATCGATGGTACAGTGGAAGACACAGTTGCAGGTCAATGGTGAAAGACTGGGAGAAGTTAATATCAAGAGAGGAATATTTCAAGGAGATTCATTATCTAAGAGGAGTCAGTAGAAACATCAGAAAATTTGTGCAAAGATCGATGGTACAGTGGAAGACACAGTTGCAGGTCAATGGTGAAAAACTGGGAGAGGTTAATATCAAGAGAGGAATATTTCAAGGAGATTCATTATCACCACCACTATTTGCTATTGCACTGTTTCCTCTGTCAACAATACTGAATAACTCAGGACATGGCTATCAAACATCAAAAACATCTGCCAGACCATCCCATCTCCTTTACATGGATGATCTGAAGCTGTATGGAAAAACATCATCTGAAATAGAATCGCTGCTGAACACTGTCCGTATATATAGCCAAGATATTGCAATGGAGTTTGGCTTGGACAAATGTGCCACACTTACTGTCAAACAAGGAAAAATAGTGAAAACTGAAGGAATCAAGATGCCCCACTAAAATAACATTAAGAGTCTGGATGAGGAAGATTACTACAAATAATTGGGTATCCTTCAAGCTGACAACATCAAGCACACTGAAGTCAAGAAAAAGATTAGAGGTGAATACATCAAGAGAGTGAAGAAGATCTTAAAGTCCAAACTCAATGGAGGAAATACCATAAAGGCAATCAACACCTGGGCAATTCCAGTCATTAGATACACAGCTGGAATAGTGGACTGGACTCAAGCAGAACTAAAAGCAATGGATAGGAAGACCAGAAAAATAATGACAATGAATCATGCCCTTCATCCACGCAATGACATTGACAGACTTTATCTACCAAGGCAAATAGGTGGGCGTGGAATGCTACAAGTACATCAGATGGTTGAAGAAGAAAAAATGGCTTTGAAAGAATATCTGAAGAACAATGATGAAGATGCACTGAAATTAGTATATCAGGAAGGCTTACTGACTACTGGAGAGACCAAACTGGCCTACAAGAAAGACCAAATGAAGAACAGAATAGAGGCATGGGAAGACAAAGCACTACATGGCCAATACATTAAAAAAATAGCTGGGAAAGCAGATAATAACAAACCTGGCAATGGCTAAGAGCAGGAAAATTGAAGAAAGAGACCGAGGGATTAATTCTGGCTGCACAAGACCAAGCCTTAAGGACAAATGCATACAAAGTCAAAATTGACAAGACAACAACAGACAGTAAGTGCCGCCTATGCAAAGAAGCTGAAGAAAGAGTGGACCACCTGGTAAGCTGCTGCAAGAAGATCGCACAGACTGACTACAAGCAGCCCCATGACAAAGTAGCAACAATGGTACATTGGAAGATCTGCAAGAAATATCATTTGCCTGTAAGTAAGAACTGGTGGGATCATAAAATGGAGTTAAGTCATAGAAAATGATAAAATTAAACTGCTCTGGGACTTCAAAATTCAAACAGACAAGCACCTGCAACACAACACCCCAGACCTAACCATTGTCGATAAGAAAGACAAAAAAGTCTGGATAGTGGACGTGGCAATGCCTGGAGACAGCAGTATAGACGAGAAAGAACTGGAGAAGATAATAAAATACAAAGACCTACAAATAGAAATAGAAAGACTGTGGCAAAGGCAAACAAGGGTAGTACCAATAGTAATAGGCTCCTTGGGTGCAATCCCAAAACAACTGGAGCACCACTTGAACACCATCGGCATTGACAAATTCGCCATTAGTCAATTGCAAAAGGCGGCCTTACTAGGAACTGCTTCCATCCTGCGACGATATCTGTAATACCATCAAACATCCACATCTGCCTATCACAGGTCCTTGGTAAGGATTCGATAGGTAGACAAAAATGCCAAATCCAGTCTGAACATCTGGCTGACTGCGATGATTAATAATAATAATAATAATAAAGTTGGAAGGGATCTTGGAGGTCATCTAGTCCAACCCCCTGCGCAGGCAGGAAACCCTATACAATTTCAGACAAATGGCTGTCCAATCTCTTCTTAAAAACTTCCAGTGTTGGAGCATTCCCAGCTTCTGGAGGCAGGTTGTTCCATTGGTTAATTGTTCTAACTGTCAGGAAATTTCTCCTTAGTTCTAGGTTGCTTCATTCTTCGGTTAGTTTCCATCCATTACTTCTTGTCTTGCCTTCAGGTGCTTTGGAGAATAGCTTGACTCCCTCTTCTTTGTGGCAACTCCTGAGATATTGGAATATTGTTATCATGTCCCCCCTTGTCCTTCTCTTCATTAAACTAGACATGCCCAATTCCAATTGTATGTTTTAGTCTCCAGTTTCCTTGACTTTCTTCTAGTTTTTTACATGTTGAAAGAAGTTTTTTCTTATTTCTGACTTTTGTCGCAAGACTTAGTTCATTTTGAGCCTTAGCTTTCCTCACTTCATCTTTACAAGCTCAGGCTATTTGCTGATATTCTGCTTTAGTTATGTGCTCCTCTTTCCACTTGTTATACTTGTCCTTTTTATCAGAGAGTTCTTTATTCAGCCATGCTGGTTTCTTTTGAGAGCTGTTATTTTTCTTCTTCGTTGGTATTGTAATAGACTGGGCTTTTATTATCTCTCTTTTCAAAATTTCCCAAGCGTCTTGAGTTGTTTTCCCCTTGAGGATTCTCAAACATGGAATCCTTCCCAAACTCTAAATATATTGCAGCGCTGCATAGCCAGAACTGAGAATCATGCTCCAAATCCCTCATCCTCCCTTTACTGTCTCTCATTGCCCCTAGTGCAGTGGTTCTCAAACTTTTTAATGCCGCGACCCCCCAATCGGTCGTAAGTCGAGGACTACTCAACTGGTGCAGCACTGTTTGCAGAATGGACTTTTGGCGGACTCAGCAGGGTACAGACAGAATAAAAGGGAGTAGCAAGCTAAGGAAAAGGGGGAAAATGGCGGACTGCGTTGTTTGGCGACCCCCGTAAAATGGTCGTTCGACCCCAAATGGGGTCCCGACCCACAGGTTGAGAACCACTGCCCTAGTGTAACCAATCAAGTTCATGCAAGATGTTTTCATAATGGTCAGCTGGGTAACCTTGAGGTAGCCTCTCAATAAAGTACAATTTCTATTTTCTGTTTCCCAAGCATTTCCCTCCTTCCTCCCCACAGTTCTTGACAATCTGTCACCAAGCAGCGAAGCACAATAAAGGTGCTAGCTGACATGATTATTCTTGCACTGTATTGGCATTTTCCTTCATTTTCTTCAGAGACACAAGACCACAGTATAAGACTTACAAAATGCCCAACTGAAATTTCATTATCTGGGTTTCTGTTATGCTTTTAAAAACATGCTACAGAAAGTTATATTTTCACTTATACAGCAAATCTAGAAAATAATGCATCATAAAATATACAATGATTTTTCAAATCAGCAAAATGCTGAATGTTGCTCTAGGACAGTGGTTCTCAACCTTTCTAATGCCGTGACCCCATAATATAGTTCCCCATGTTGTGGTGACCCCCAAGTGGGTGTGGCCACCAATAAGAGGGAGTAGGACAGCTAGGGAAAAGGGAAAAAAATGGCAGACAGCGTGGTTTGGCGACCCCCGTGAAATGGTCATTCGACCCCAAATGGGGTCCTGACCCACAGGTTGAGAACCACTGCTCTAGGATACTAGAGCTTCTATTATTCATCCTTTGAGCTATATTGTCATCTTTCCCTTATGTAATGATACATAAGGGAACTGAGCAAGTTCAATCTTTGTACAGTGGTGCTTAAACATTTGCGAACCCTTTTTGATTTTCAATATTTCTGCATAAATATGATCTAAAATATGTGTTTTAGGCACCACTATAATTATCTTATCTTTTCAACAGGTTAACAACTCAACTGCCAGCATTTCATGGCTATGCAGTTTATAACTCTGGAGTTAGTTGCTGGCCTAACTCCGAGATTAGATATGATAAAAAATATTGTCATAAATGAACAAAAAATATAGAAGAATAGTTTTCTCTAAGGTACAGCTGTGAGAGACTTCCTCCCCAAAATACAGAATGAAAAGGCAGCATATAGAGATTGAAACCTGTGACCAATTATAACTTTCAGCATCCCTTCACCTTTATCCTGTAAGATAGCACTGCTCAGAGTTAACATAAAGAGCTCTTCATCTAATAATATACAAGATTTGAGTGAGGAACACTACTTGATAAAGGCACATCTGAACATACAAGTTTAAAACATGCTTAAAGCAACCACAAATCAGTCTCTGAAATTATAAAACTAGGAAAACTTTTGTCATCCAGTTTTGATTATATGAACTGATTACAGACATGATTCATAGTGTCACAAAATAAACCATTAAAGGCCAAGCTAATTCAAGCAAGTTATAATTATATGACATTTTTCATCTTTTAGGTGATTATTTAAAATTACTTTGAAATAACTTTCAAACAAACATATTTCAGGATGCACTACGCAAAGGAGCTTTTTTTTCCCCCGAGTTTTCATTTTAACTGCAGCCCCTTGCACTGGAGATATTCATGGAGATAAAGGTAAGAACTGTCCCATGATATTCAGATGTTCAGGAAGCTAATGGGACAATGAAGGAAGAAGCTACTGCAATTCTCTGAATCCTGGTCACTGAACTCAACAGTATAGTGGTATCTTGGTACTCAACTGTTTTGAAAGTCATCGAATTTGGTACTCAATGCATTTTGACATAAAAATGTTGTCCCAGTACTCATCATTTGTTTGGTACTCACAACGCACAAGCTACAACTTGTTGGTGTGGTTACCTTGTGATTCATTAAATTATTTCCTTATTTGGTACTCGTTTTTGGTACTTGTCGCACCTCCCAGAACTAATTAACGATGAGTACCGAAATACCACTGTACTGATCTAAAATTATCAAAATATGTTCATTTTAATAATTTGTTGAAATAAAATCAATAAAATATAATTAAGAGACATTACCTGTATTTATGCATTGTTTTCTTCATATCCACTTTGACAGTGAGCTTTTCTTTCCTAGCATGAACATCTGAAATTTTATGTTGGGTATCATGCTGGTAGCTGCTGGAAAAATCTATTCTTCCCCTAAAATCCACATCTTTCTTTGCTTGTTCTTTTTCATTTTGTTCTAAGAATTTAGCACATGAACTGCGGCCTTTCCCTGAATTATATTTCATTCCCACTTCAGCGTGAGGCTCTCCCATTCGGCTTGCTCTGTCACTGCTATGACGACGTGAATATTTACTATTCCAAACTCCTTTACAGTAGCTGTATTTCTCGTTGTCCAACTTCACATATTTCTCTTTTTCATCAGAGGAATATTTTCCTCCATCTGGATATCTATGATGTTTATGAGAATACTCATATGTAATCTTAGTTTCACAATTATTACTGTATTTAAGTTCAGCACGCCATTGATCTTCAAGATTTCTTTGTTCTTCCTTTTTCTGATTGGAAGAATGATTTTGCTTCCATTTGGAACTGCTTGCGGATTCTCTATCATACCTCTCCATTTCATTCACCTTTTTAGAGCTGGGCCCATATTCTCTGTAATCACGGTCAGGATACCTGTGTTGATATAAAGTAGTTTATACTTGCAGTAAGAAAGAAAATGAGAATTTATGTATGCAGAATGCTGGTAAACTCAGGTGTTAGGTAGAATGTGTCACCCCGTGATCCCTCAAGCCACCAAAGAGGGGAAATTATGATCTTGAATATGCTAGTCACCAACAGGATTAATATAAAAGAAATAAAATTCCTCTAACACCAGTAGCCCACAATTAAACTATATTTTTATTGTTAGAGAAAATAATTTTCTGGGCAGAAATCTTCAACTATTAGGGAAAATAGTTTTCACTTGAGGCTTTACACCACTAAAAAAAATAAAAATAAAACTGGGCAATTTCTCTACCTCTTCTGGGAAGAACTCCTTGGCATACATTCATTAGAAAATCTTCGAGATGATTGAACATACTTGTCTTCTTGTAACTGGTGCTGCCTCAAGTCATTTTCATTCCACTTCCTTTCAAACTTACATAAAGTCTTTAATGGCCTATGGTATGTCTTCATTTCTTTTGTGTTTCCAACAGCTCTAGTATCTTCATGCATTTCTCTGACATGTACTTTAGATGGATAAAATGACTGATGGTGTTCTTTGTGAGACATTTCTAAATATCTGGAAGTAAATTGGTTTCTTCTGATATTTTCATTTCTTTCAGGTGAATATGTTCTAAAAGATTTATGATTATCAATGTGTTCTGAAGGGTTTCTTTTCAGAGAAGGGGAATATGACCTGGATTCATGAAGTCGATGATAGTTAGCTTCATGTGGTATATATCTGGGATTGGTTTGCCCATGTTTTGCCTCTTCCATTCTCCAAGATATAAGTTTCTTTGAGTCTTTTTGGAAAATCTTATATTCAGAGTCATAATCAATGTGATAATGCCTTTGTCTATTGTATTCCTGTGCTCTGAAGACTGGTGATAAAGATCTACATGAAAACACATAAATACAGAATTCAATTCAATTATTGCAACATACATTATGTCAGTAGGTTTGAGAGTCTGACAAAGTAGCATAAAATATTGTTCTAACTTACATATAGGAGCTTATTATATTTGGCATCTTTACATTTTAAAAAACATTTGCAAATTAAACAAGCTGCTTCACTTTTTTGTTGCTTAAATTGAGGGAAAATGAAGTAAAACTGGAACAGGTTTTTATCATGTAGATAATTCTTATTATACAGACTAACTGCTTCTGAAAACTATTTATATGAAGTGCAGCAAATTTTAAGTGCCGCATAAAACTTTTTCTGTTCCATCACCAGCTACATTCCAAAAGATAAACAATGTTATCACAGCTATATTCTCAGTAGAGAATATTATATTCCATTCTTACAGATAAGAGGATCTCTCACCCTAAAATCCTGAATACATTTACTTCCAAATATAATTGCAATAATTAAAAATATTTCTCAGATAATCATTTAGTGCTGCTGTCTTCTAGTAAATTAAGTAAAACCTGTATGAGCAATAGAAAAAGAAGACCATTTACCTTCGTTTCCATCGTGGTGATCTTGACCGTGATCTAACCATCTTTTCATATACTTGTAAGCTGTCTTCGTTAAACTATTAGAAAAAATGTAAACAAGTAAATATTTAGCAGTAACTAGTACATACTATAACTGTTAATAGTTTAATGTTTACCAGAATATATTTCAAAAAAGGTATTTAATTTATAAATAATTAACAAAAACGAAAAACTAAAGCAAAAAACAACCTCGTATTTTATCTGAAATGGAAGTTTTGATAAGTTGCTGATTTCATATACTGCATTCATTAGTTTTTTAAAAATTCTGCCGTACGTAATTTTCTAAAGAAAAAAAATGCCCACAAAAAAAGTGGGACAGAAGCCTAAATCATACCATTCCTACTAAAGTGTTGTAAACCAGGGATTAGCAGAAGATTAACGCTTGGTGCCTTGCCTTCTGTCATCAATGGGAAAGAGGGGGGAAACAAATGGACAATTTGCTGTATACCTTTATGGCGGGAAATTGGGAGGAGGTAATTGACAGTTGAGAAAGAACAGAGCCATTTAGTTCGTGCTGGAGCACTGGCATCTTCAAGGCTGTTTGCCCTGAGTGTGGAATTTCACCAGCCAAAATACCTCAGAGTTTTGCATAAAACATCTTGGTAGTGCTGGATTGGCTACACACGGTTGGACCACTGGGGGCAGGGGAAACCAGGGGTTTTAGTTCTGTATTGGTGAGCAGAAATTTTAGATTTTGCTTGACTCTCCTGCAATCTCTTAGTAAAAGTGCTTTTTCACTTCAAAGGGAGTCGAGACTTTACTTCCCTAAGCGATCAGCCTGGGGCAGATCTGACATTAAGCAGAATCTGCATTTATTGTCAATCTGGAGAGGGCATCACCTTTACTGTGGGGATCGTGCACGCAATGTCGGCTCAAGAGAGCAACCAGGAGATTGAATGCTGGGGGGAGGCTTTGTCCAGGTCCCCTTCCAGGCTGGATCTCTCTAACTAGATAATAGATGCAGAGAGCTGCAGCAACCTGCCAAGACTCAGGTGGTCCCTGGGAAGAAAGGAAGAGAAGCCCTCAGGGGTGACTTTTATTTGTGGAAGCCACCAGAGGGAGCAAAAGATTGAGCTGAAAGAACTGGAGGAGGAGAAGGAAGAGACGGGTAGAGAGCATCTACAAGCTGATTGGGTGATGGAACAAGCCATCAAATTTATGCGGGGAGCTTTCAAAAAAACTCAAGGCATGAGAAGCAGTCATCCAAGCCTTCCAGCCAGACAATCAATCATGCTTAGTGTGTCAGCAACTGATGGGATGACCACATCTGCCACAGCAGGCAATGCTGGTGACGGACCCATGGCGGCAGCGGCCACAGCAGCCCCAACACCTGGAAGGGTGGCCCAGTGCAGGGCCCCTGTGGGGACTGCACTGGCGAGGAGGAGCCACAAGACCCCACAACTGGGTGTGAAATTTGACAGAGATTCCCAGCAACTGGGGTCCTTCTTAGCTCAAGTTTGGACCTACATGCAGAATATGGTCTCAAAATAGCTACAGAGGGCAGCAAGGTGAGATGTGTCACCATGGCCCTGGAAGGAGTTGCATCGAGGTAGATGGTCCCCCTCCACAATGATGATGTGTCGGAGCTAAGAAATTTCAACTGCTTCATGGCGGTGCTCCACAAGCACTTTGAAGACCCTCTTCCTGACTGAAAAGCTAGAGACTGAATCAAGACCATCGGCCAGGGCCGAAGGAATAAAGCCGAGTATACCCAGGAGTTCTGCGATCTGCTAACTGAATGATTGGACACAAGACATCCTGATTGGCTGCTTCAAAGACGAGCTAACCAACGAGATCTACAACACCTACATCTCCAGGGGCACCCCTTCCACTGTCCATGGCTGTACATTCTCCCTGAGGAAGCAGAGATCGACCGTGCTCCTAACAAGCATTGTCCAGGGAGAGATTGGTGGAAATCCTTCTCAGAGAAGAAGGAACCCCCAAAAGCAAAGACAGGTGTCCAGAACTCTCAGCAATGTTCCACAGCCTGTTTCAAATGCAGAAATGAGAGGCACCGGGCTGCTGAGTGTAGGTTCAACCAACTGGTCCAGAAGACAATTCCAAGGCCCACCAAAAAGTCTACCAAGCCGCAGTTATGAATCCCTGAGACCACCCTGGAAGGATGGCGGGAGAACTCTGACCAGCCCAGTGAGGAGCTCAGAGGAGAGCAATAATAACTCCAATGATGTCCCCCTGGTAAGTAGTCCAGTCATCCCGGTGACTGTCCCCATTACTGATAGCCCAGTTCTCGGAGCATAAAGCCAGCCTGATGGCCTTTCTGGACTAAGGATGTACCAGGTTTTATGACCCAGGTGGTCAAGGCAAGACAGGCCTCTAGAGAGTTTGTATTTTTCTTAATGAAGTTCCAGCCAACAGCCCTCCAACAACTGGTAAGGCTCCACCCTCATGCTACCCTGAAGGCAGACACCCTCAGACTCCCAAACACAACCCCAGTAGTAAAAAGAAAGGCCACAGAGTAGGAGCATACTCAGCAAGGCTGAGGGTTCTAAGTCCAATCCACCAGGCAGGTCCAGGCACAATACAAGAACAAGAAACAGGTGCCAGGCAAGAAACAGTTCCAAAAGCCCAGTGAAGCAAAGGGGAAACATAGGTCACAAGAGAAGGGCGCGGTCCAAAACAAAATGTGAAGAGCAATCTTCCAAGAGAGGCAAGGCAAAAAAACAACAGGCACAAGTAAAAGCCGCGGAGGGTAAACCAAAGTAAACAATTGTACCTGGCAAAGACTAACTCCTCACAGCTTCTCCTTAAGTTACTCCCCTCCAGGTGTTCCTTGTGAGAAGGGAGTGGGGCGACCTCCTCCTAAGTAGTCTTGCAGTCCTTCTCTGGACTTGCCTACGCTCCACTCTCCCTGCCCTTGGATTGAGTGGATAGGCAGCTGTTCCTCATTAGAAGAGACTGGCTGCCTATCAGTAGCCGATCCTCCCGTGTTTGTGCAGGCAGGCAGCTCTCCGTCTGATTGATCACCTCCCCCAATGCCTGAGAGGCCAGGACAGTATCGTCCTCAGCCCCTGGCATGCCTTCCCCGTTGGATGGTCCCAGCTCCAACTCTTCCTCCTTCTCCTCCAAACCAGCCTCTGAGGTACCCATGACACCAGGTCCTTGGTCAACCTTGCCCTGGTGGAGATTTGGGAGTGAGACTTAGACTGCTCAAAGTGCCAGTGGCATTCTGCCAGATAGATGGCTCTGTGACCGGGGTGGGTGGGATTCCAGCGATATTCATCACCAAATTTAGAAATGCAGATGGGGGCATAAACAGAGACTCTTGAGTTTTATTGTGGCCCTGGGCTTGGAGAGACATTTGGTGCTGGGACTAGTGTGGCTACAGAAGTGGAACTCTTATGTGAACTGGAGGGGGGTTTGCTAAAAATCCAATGGAGTGGACAAAGCCTAAATTGAAGCCAGGAAGGAATCAAACCAAAGGCTAGGTCTACTATGCAAGAATGGAAGAAATCTGATCGCCAAATTCTAATGGAGTACTGGGTCTTGCGGGATGTATTTAGTGAAAAGATTTTAGATGAACTCCCACCCCACCAATCAACAGACTGCTCCATAGAGATCTTGCTGGGGGCTAGGCTACCCAAGCCCAAACTATACTTGATGACCCCGAGGGAGCTGGAGGAGCTGTATCTTTTTATAGATAAAAACCTAAAGTGGGGATTTATCCAGCCAATTTGGAAACTTCAGTATTTGGTAGCGTGGAAGGACTTCCCTCCTTCAGAAACTGAAAGGGTGAACCTTAAATACATTAAAAAGGCCAAACTTCTCAAATGTTTGCACAACCAGTATCCTGATAAATTGAAATAGTATTGTTCTAACTGTATTTCTACTTTGTTTCTCTTTTATATTGTGTCTTTCCTTTTGTTTTGCAGGATTAACGTCTCTATCAAGGAGGGTAGCATGTCGGAACTAGCAGCTTCAGCTTGGCACCTTGCCACTTCAGCTTGGCACCTTGCCGCGTTCTATCATCAATGGGAAAAGGAGGGGGGAACAAAAGGACAATTTGCTGTATATCTTTATGGCGGGAAATTGGGAGGGGGTAACTGACAGTTGAGGAAGAACAGAGCTATTTGGAATCCAGCTCGTGCTGGCATCTGTTTGCCCTGATTGTTGAATTTCACCAGCCCAAACACCTCACAGTTTCCGGTAACATCATGGTGGTGTTGGATTGGCTATGCTCAGATGGACCACAGGGGAAGCACCCGGGTAAACCAGGGTTTTTAGCTCTGTATTGGCCTGTGGGAATTTTAGATTCCGCTTGACTGTCCTGCAATCAGCATCTCTTAGTAAAACTGCTTTTTCACTTCAAATGGAATTGAGAGTTTTACTTCCCTAAGAGATCAGACTGGGGCCGGTCTGACAACATCCTGCAATCTATCCATGGAGCTCAGCCACTAACTCGCAAATCACTGTGCAATAATTAGATATTAAGATTCACACACACAAACACATATAAACAAATCTTGCAGAAATTTATATTCTTAAAAATATAAATACACAATAATTTAATAGTCATGCCATAATTAAGATATATCCAGTATGTACTATTATTTTCTGAATTATCACACCTTCCTGAATTGTCACAACCTGTCATGATATACACTGTAGCAAAAATTATGCAATATTGAGATTATCATGCAGATAGTTTTGAATTAGCATTATACAAAATAAGTATTCAAAATCCCCAGTCTGTGCTATCAAAATAAACTCCCAAATTCAAACATGGAGAAATGTCAAGTTTTTACTTTTCTATTTATACCAACTCAATATTATATCTCAGTTTTTTTGTATTTAGAGATTTGGAGTACTTTCATCTACTGCGTTTTGTAAAAAGAGAATGCTTTCTTTAACATTCCATGGAAGATTTAATGACATACACTGTACTTTAATGTAGAATTTACCTTAAATGAGGAATGCATAGCAAACAATTCAGAAACCTTAGCTATTTTATTGCTGAATGAAGTGGAAACTACTTTACAAAAATGTTTATTACAAAATGTTTGTTGACTTTCAGTCACCA